AAATGTGTGCATCCACCACATGGGATGTACGTATTATCCAACTTTGACAATTAGGTTGGCAACAATAATGCAAATTGGTAAGTTTTTGCGTTAATTGCATTTTATATCACAAGGTTTAGGGTTGTTTGAAAATGAGCCACGAAATTTTAAATTTTCGTATATTACATTGCTTGATTTATGAATTGCACTAATTTAACTTTTCCATTAGTTTAGCCTCTAGATAGATGTTGAGTGCTGACGTGGCGTAAACTATCCACATTTGAAGCATGCCAATACTCCAATTTATTGTGACAAAGGACTTAAATTGGTGCAATGTGTATGTCCTTCAAATGTGAGGCCAATCTTTATTATGTCATCATTTAATATCTAACTAGACAATAAATTACCAAAGAAGTTAAATTAGTGCAATTCACAAACTACATCACGTAATATGTGGAAATAAAAGTCTCGTGGCCAATTTACAAAATGAGCATAAAATCTTGTTGCGTAAAAGTTAACCCCAAGTAACTTATTTACGAGAAGAAGAAGTCCCCACTCTTGGAGAGAAAGTCATACAACTTATATATGTCTATGATTCGGTGATTCTACACGTGAAGGACTTAAAACTCCTCATGTTTGGAGAAAAAACCATACATAACTGTGATATATTATCATGTGTCTTTATCTTTCAACCGTTATATATACATACGTAATAAAAGAGCTAGCTTACATATATGTAACGTTGATATACACCTTTTGTAACGTTCTCTTTTCTCATGCAAATGAACTTAGAAGATGTTTCTACCTTTATAAGAAAACGTACATATAGTTGTGACGTGCATACACTTTATATGTATCACGTGATGATAAAAAAAGACATGTATATCAGGGTTATTGGGAAATTCTCCTCCTTCACCAGTTTGTTCTCATGTGCCTGCATTAATCTATAGGACTCCATATATCATATGCAATATTTATTCCTCCTCTAATTAACTACAGTTGCAGGGTTAGGTGTAGGTTATATTTACTATATATCAAGGACTGAGAAACAGTGGTATCACCAGAAGGAAAGGACCCATTTGCTTTCGGTCTTCAGAGAAGTTGTTCCCCTTAAAGTGGGTTAGTCTAATCAGCAATGCCAAACATATAACTTCAATGGCACGTTACGTCGATCTTTTAGCGGAATTTCAGAAACTAATTACATGTGCCCACGGCCACGTTATTTTCATGTCACCTAATATTCTCGTCACTTTAAATATGCAGGCCTTCTTGTTGTTCTATTTATATCTTCATTAAAACTCGGCAGAACCAGTGCTTAGTTGTGCATATATCACAGAGCTAATTGTTCTTCCGAACGAGAAAGTTTTTGGTTCAGCGGTAATTTTTTTTAGATGTACAAGAAGTTTTACATTCGAATCTCTCATTCTACATTTGATAGGAAAAAAAAAAAAGTTTTTATTTTGGCTAATAACTTTGTAAGTGGTCCTTCAAATTCGATATTTGCGGTATTTACATCAATTCGGACTTCTTTCTACTACTAAAGAGAGGTTTAACCGAAAACGCGAATAACACTTAGATAAATAAGAACCCACATGACAAAGGAATCAAGATAGCGCCTTAGAGGACATGATAGATGGTTTGTCTACATGACGAGACGAGCATCCTACCATGCATGTATGGTCTGTAAGACTGTAACGTGAAATGGCTGACAAAATGTCCATATACAATCTCCCAATTGAGTTAGGCAAAGTGAGAGCTTGAAAGTATGTGTATGTTTCTGTACGTGTATTTTTGTGGGTGGGGGGGGGGGGGGGGTGGTGTGGTGGTGTCTTGTCAGCATCTCAATGTGGTTATAAACTTGTAACATGTTGATTCCAATTAGCAATTGAGAGGTCTCACGAAAAGTCACCACATTCAAAAGCCGAATTAGATGGATAAATACAGATATATTCCCTTCATAGAGTAAGTGACATGTTTGAAAATCTGTTTAGATGGAGCTTCAAAATAGTTGTATATAAAGTTAAAGAGGGAGAAACCAAAAATAAAAGAAATCTACAAAAATATTCTTGGGAAATCCAATTCGTAACTATTATTAGGGTCTTCGGAGCAGAATTAAGATGGTAAAGTAGGTTGGGCTAGAGATTTGGAGCCGACAATTAAGGTAGAGGTTTGGTCAAAGTCGGGGTGACGGAGAGCCAATGTTTAAAAAAATTTCGATATGGTTAATATTTTGAAGAAATATTCAAGGAATCAAAGAAAGATATGGAAATAGGAGGTGAAGTTTAAATTTCACCTCATATCAGAGAAACTACTAAGTTTAGACTAAAATCGACAAATATCGTCAATATTTCTGACACATTTATTATATATCGGAGAAACACTTATATTTCGTCCAAAATAATGTTTGATAATCACTGAAGCTTCATTTTAAATTTTCATCATTTTCATCGAAAGCAACCAATATCGATATGCACTGTATCCGTAGATATTTTTATAATCTATCACTACTGATATTTTAAACATTGAATAAAACCAGTCTATCCCTCCACATAGTTCTGCCACGATGTCTCTTTCTGAACCATTCCATTTCCAAAAGTTGAAACTAGATATTGAACCCAAAAATGAAAGAAACTATTAGAAATGCTCTATTATTATTGAAGAGTAATTGTTGGGTACCACCAACTACAACAGTTTAAAGATTGGAATGTTAAACAAGGATGTGGTTATAAGCAAAATGTCTTAGTAGCTGAAAAATCAACGATCGATGTTGCTTAAAAAAGGACTCCAATTATTTCACTTCAGGTGGGATTGTCCCCCAGGAAGTTGCTTAGTCTAATCCTCAGGACATCCAAATATCACCGAAGTATGTCTATATTTGCTTATTTCCAACCTCATATTTCTGAGCTACTTGCCACCCCACTGCCGATGGGATATATCCTTCATAATTCCTTTGCATTCCATTTCCATACTGTACCTTCCACTATAGACAAGTCTATAGATGACCAGCTACCTAGGACTTGGATATCTATTTGGTACATATGATGCCAGACATGACAAATTTGGACTTATCTTTTAGAAAAATTAGAAAAAGAAAAATAAATATTTGAGGTTGTAAGGTTTATTTTTCTTCTGACTAGGTATAACTAGTATTGATATTGAAAAAGGGGTGAAACCCAAACTCCATCCTATATCGGCTAGATATAGGAAAACGAATGAATGTTGACGATATTTACCTATTTACTATAAGAATTTTGCCAAAACCCATTGCAAATTTCAAACTTTTAAAAATTTTGAGAATTTTTTTCTCCAATTTCAACTAAATAATGAGTTGTCATACCCACCATATTGTAAATTTTCATAATTTTTATCAAAGATAACTGATATCAATATCACTATATCATCGATATTTCTATAAATTTCCATATCAAAATTTCTAACTATACGATGGTTTAAACACTGAGTATAACTTCTTCTTTTTTCTATCAATAAAAATCACTTATACTAAAAACATTTCTAAAGGGATGTAACAAAGTAATGCAAGATGTTGTATTTTGTATATGGGGAAGTTTTGGGGTGAGATTTGGCTGCCAGGAAATAAGAACGCTGAATCTCCTCAAGCATCGTGTGAATAGAAATTTGGACCCCTTGATGATTTGGGCCAATAAAGGATTTCTAAATTGAACAAGCAACACAAAATTGGCTCATAAAGTTCTGTTGTCTACTAGTTTGAGCCCAAAGAACACCTAGCCCAGAGTTTTAGAGTCATTCCCAAATAATAATATATTAGAATTGTAACCACAACAAGTGGTCAAGAGCGCAAACTGAGACTCTCTAATAAATAAAAAATATGGGAGTTTTTGGGTTCAAGATTTCAAGCTGGTGAGTCTGCTTGACTATGGCCACAGGCAGAGTTCTCCATAGCCTCTCCATGCCCGAAAAGAGTGAATAACAGTGATTTGCCACTAATTGTCCCCCTTAAAAAAAAAAGAATAAAAAAAATCATTAGTGTTGTTGAGAGAGTGATTACCCTATGTTTGTGCTTCTGCAAGGTTTTCAGCAAAGATTTGAGGAAAGCATTGTTCAACATGCTTACAAAAATTTGAGTTATGGTGCTGAATTTTTTGGCAAAGTTAGTCTAAATCTGAGTCTTCATAAACCTTAGCGAAACTCCAAGTGATTTAGTTAGTATTTTAGAATCTTGAAGGCCAGATTTGTAAAATTGTAGTTTTGTTTGTGCTCATCCCCCTCTTGAGTCTTGCCCTATACAAAATAGTTTTCTTCTAAAATATGTGTTTAAATAAAGGGAATTGTTATTAGTATTTCAAAAATGATGAAAGGAAATGTGAAATGATTGTTATTTTTTATTTTTTTTTGAACAATTGATATTATCTACACTAAGGGGAGGGGCTGGACTTAGTCTCACAATAAGCTAGTAATAATGTGGTTCAAATTCGTCTTTGGCGATAATCGAACCTAAGACCTCTCACTTACCAGTAAAAAGGAATACCACTAGACCGTAGTAATGAGTGACAAATGATTGTTAAATTTTAGGGCATATTTGGTTAACAAAAATAATAAATTAAAGGAGTTACAAAACTTAGAAATATGATAAGAAAAAGGAATGCAATTTATTAATCACATCAACTAAGAAAGAAAATACGATTGATTAGTCATTATAGTCGATCTAATTCTTGAAACATTTAGATATTTGATTATAGATTTTTCGAACAAATTCACAATTTTTGATTTTCTATGGTACGAACACAAGCGAAAGTTAAGAAGTGAAAATTGTTCTCGTACCACATTTCGGTAAACGTGAAAACTCAATAATGTATAATTGATTAAGAGCATAGATGTGCCCCTAAATTTAGTTGCTAGAAAATATATCATCATCATGTTTCTCAAAAGAAAAGCAAAACATGATTGATAATTGTCATAATCTTGCCGTGTAATTCAACATATATAAAGACACTTCTAGGCTTGTAAAAACGTGCGGTCTCCTTCCTTACAAAGTTTGTTTGTACCAGTTTCCAAAAAAAAAAAAAAAAAGTTTGTTTGTACCAGCCATTAACGACCTAGACTTTTACCTCCAATTACCCACCATCTCTGCAATTTCACTCACCTTCCCTGTTCCCTCTCCTCTCCTCTCCTCTCCTCTCTTCCACATAAACCCTAGATCCACACACACCTACCTACACGCGGGCACCGGTAATTTACAGTTGCATATTCAATAAGAACATCAGAGGCTCGCAATGGGTTGCTCAGCCTCCCTTCCAGGTAAATGGATCCTCTGAGGGATTTAATTTCTAGGGTTTTACTGTTTCAATTTTATCACATTGAAATTTCTGTCTGGGTTCCTTTGATTTGGTCAATATCCTTGATTTCTAAGCTCAGCGAGATTGAGTTGAAACATTGAGAGAGGGAGATAGAGTGGTTGTTTGTTTGCTTAATTAGGATTTGGGTTTTCACTAATTGCTTCGATTGCGATAACCCTTTTGTGAATTTTGTTTCTGTTTTTTTTTTTTTTTTTCCTTTGAATTTGATTGAATGGGGATTGTTTGCTTGCAGATAGGAGTTCTGGGCTGTTGGCCGGGCCAAATTCCGAAAACGGTGGAGCTTCTGATGCCAAAAATCTACGCGTAAAGGTATTTATTTAGGGTAAATTTATTCAATTAATGATGTTACTGTCACTTATCTGGAGTTGACAGTGTGTGATACTTGAGTCATTATACTCATTACTAACTTCTGATCATTTGAAAGTTACTGTGGGTTTGGAAAAATGCTAACTTTAACTAAACATATATGAGTGAGTTTCGATGCATTTCTAATTTTCTATCTGAACCGATACATTACATAAATGCGTCCCAATGGCATGAGAATGAAAATATGGTCTCGACTCTTGACATCTTTTAGATTTATGATTAAAACTATTTTCTTGAATCAGTTATTTATGTCGGATCGGATTGATGAAACTCATAAGATAACTTGTCTTCTGCAAACTGGTAGTAGGTGGAGCTGAGCATTTTAGCGGAGCTGTTATGATTTATATAAGGCATACAACCGAATCCATCTAACCTTTCGTTCTTGTCACTCTTCAGCTAGTATTGTTGGGCGACTCTGGTGTTGGTAAAAGCTGTATTGTTCTGCGTTTTGTTCGTGGTCAGTTTGACCCCACATCCAAGGTTAGGAACATGTTACTGCTATATGTTAACCCGCATGTAGGTCTCATGATTTTTTTTTTACTTCCGGGAAATGTTTTGTCTATGTACCCTGTTTTTGGGTTTCAATATATAGAAGTTATTATGATGATCATTTACTCAAATTTTCTGGTTTTTAATGATTCCAGGTGACTGTTGGAGCTTCATTCTTGTCGCAGACAATAGCTTTGCAAGATTCTACAACAGTTAAATTTGAAATATGGGACACTGCAGGACAAGAGAGGTATTTTGGCCAAACATTTTTGGATATATGAACACTAGTTTAAGACATATATAATGTTTTATGGCGAAGTTTCATCATATGTTCTTGTTTCCAAGGCATCCGCATTTGCCCTCTCGTTTACTCTTCCCTGGATACTTTTTCTTGCAGTATTATCCTTTTGCAGAAGAGTATTGATTGTTGATTAACTCATATTCAGGTATGCTGCATTGGCCCCACTTTATTATCGTGGTGCTGCAGTTGCAGTTATTGTGTATGATATAACAAGTCCTGATTCTTTCAACAAAGCGCAGTATTGGGTTAAGGTATCTTTGCTGAAGGGCACAAAATCATAAATTGTGATCTTTTTCTTTTTTAATTGTTTAGGTGTACATCCTTTGTTTTTTTCTTTCCTTGGAAATGATCCTTATACTCTTGTCTCCACATTTAAGCAAGCATCAGGTTTGAGGGAGGTAAAAACTGTTGAATAAAATATGAGGTTTCAAAATGGGTCCAATTGCAGAATTTATACCTCACCGGTTGCATAAGTTATAGTCTACAATCAAAATCTTAATTCTTGTGATAAATTTTTGTAATTTTTTTTTTATTAACAGTGACAAAAGTATGGTTTAGTTTTTTATTTATTTATTTTTTTAATAACTTTTCTGAGACTTAAACATGTGGGACACTGGGTTCCCGGTTGGCTGACTAAGAACCTCTAAGGTAGATTGTTGTCGATGCTTAAATGATAACATAATATGGTAAAACTACTCCATGGAGGAAGAGCAGCTGACTGTATTGAACAAGGAGCTAATAATTGCATGGTTGCATATCAATGTGCATTGTGGAAGCTTAAGCTCTATTGAATGTGCAACATTCCCTTGCTACATGGACTTTACCAAAGATGAATTTTTGTTTAGATTACACTTATTATTTCAAGTTTTTAATAACTGGTTTCTTTTGGTGTGAATTTGCGTTTGCCAACAATTGATAAGTATTAGCTCTCTATAGGAGCTACAGAAACATGGGAGCCCTGATATTGTCTTGGCCTTGGTCGGTAACAAAGCTGATCTTCATGAGAAACGTGAAGTTCCTGTTCAAGTGAGTTCTTTACCACTCAATCTAGTGCATCTTCTTTCCATGTACTTGTAAGGTAGACATTCCTAGGACTAAATAAACATCTCTTTTATTTATGAAGGAGGGAATTGAATACGCTGAAAAGAATGGAATGTTCTTTAACGAGACATCTGCAAAGACAGCAGATAATATTAATCAGCTGTTTGAGGTAACCCTAATTACATTTACGTTTCAGTCATAGGATGGTTCTGTTATTAGCCGTTGAAATGTTATTATTTTACAGTAGACTCCATACAAACTTCAGATTAACACCTTTATAAACCAGAACTTTAAACCAAATTATAAACCCTTAAATCCAAAGCTTATCTATTGCTCGGACCGCTGACAGTATGACTTATTTTGGCAGGAAATTGCCAAGCGACTACCCCGTCCAGCCCCTTCATCAACTTAGCAGAATCCATGAAAGCCGATTCACTAAGGAACTTGTTCATGCTATAAGGTCTGGTTTGGTATTGCTGTGCTTTGAAAAAAAGCTGCTTCTGCTGTGCTGTGAGAATAAGCAGCTGTGAAATAAAGCAACAGAGTGTTTGGTAAACTTTTTTGTAAAAGTGCTTTTGAAAAAAAAAACAGTATTATAGTGTTTGGTAAACTTTTATGTAAAACAGATGTGAAAAAAAGTCAGTTTTTCAAAGCTGGGTTTTGCAGCTTCTTGTTTTTGGCTTTTTTTCATCCAAAACTGTGAAAAAAAAGCTGAATTTGAATGTTTACCAAACACAAAAACAGCTCCCAGCTTTTTTTGATACCAGCTTTTTTCAGAATCACCTCAGTACCAAATCATATCTAAAGACCTTGTTACCTTTTTGTAATTTCTCAGTTTGTGTATATTGTGAAATAGGTTGTAGCTTTTGCTTTTTACCGGGCTGTGGGTTTCAGCCGATAGTTTCAGTTGGAACTACATGATCGTAATTTGCACACGAATAATCTGTAAATGCCTGGGAATCGACCATAGCATATAGCTGATCAAAGTGTGATAATCTAACATATATCGTCGGTTTTCTTGATATTCCGAAAAGCAAAACCAACTAAGACCAATGATAAATTGTCGCACATCAATATATTGTCTGATATGTATTCAAACAGAATATGGTGTGATTTTTCAGTACGTAATATTCTATTGATACGGAAAAACACAAGTTACAGCTAGTCAGAGTGACATGAAGCTTACCCCTCCTCGTTCGTGATTCTGTTGAGAAATCAAGCTCCCTGTACAGCTAAAGATCCTCATATGATACCTACTGTCTCCATATATTCATCTGATGAGGCATCCGCTAGGGCTAGCGATCCTCCCAAATTAAGCAAGTGAAAAACGTTCGATGAGGGTACCGGACTTTTTCTCTAAGGTGGGATGGGGAGTCCAAAAGAACTACTCTTTCCTCAAGTCAAACGAAATATACTTGGTAGATTGCTTGCGATAGTGGAGTAGCGATGTGAGGGACTGACCAACCAATGCGTGTCTGTATGCAAATGCGGTTTTGTGGTGGTTGTAGCATAAATTGTAAGGAGAAACCGAGTTTATCTCTCGCCGTGGCAAGAACTTCAGCCACCAACTTCCAATTTCTTGTGCCACGGGCATTCCCGATCTTGGTCATCGGTTTCATGTGGGGAAACACGAACAATGTTGTAGGTGTTGGTTATGCTGTCAAATCCCATTTCGTAGCAATCATAGGGGACCAGACCTGTATAATTGGCTTTGGCTTTTGGAGTGGGAGCAATAGAACTTCTCCCTCAAGAGGATTCAACAAAACAGATCCATACCAATAAGAACATCTCCCTTCAAAGAAAAACAAGTTGCAGAATACAAAAGCAACATACAAACTACATGGCAGTTTGGACCAAAACTGGGAAACAATTGCTCGTTTGCTGAATAAGAAGCATAAGTCGAGGAACACCAGAGGGGCAATTAATACTAGTAAACGTTGCTGTGCAGTGTAACAAAAGAAAGGTCGTCAACTGTGTTTAACACTGCCTTAGATAAACATTGCAGGCAACGAACTGAATTTACAGGCAGTTATGAAAGGATGTCGATGGGGATTTCGATGGGTAGGTGTATCAACTCGGTTGTGTTGTGGTGGTGGTGTGGGTGATGGTGTTGTTGCAGGTACCGTGCCTCATCCTCTTCTGGCTCGTCAACATATTTCTCTCCCGCTCCTTGTAGGGTTTGATAATTCTCAGTATATTATCATCGATTCTAACAGGTAAATATGCATGTAAGAGGTGTAGGTGTTACAATAGAGTATGTTTAAAGTAAGAGTCCTAGACGAGTTAGAGAGGCAAGGTGCAACTCTAACTAAAAGCTATCCAGTTGGATGTCTGTCACTGCACACTTCTAGTTAAGACGTACACCATCTTAACCATACTCATGGTCAATTACTATGAAAAGTAATAATGCTACATATAGTTCTATTATTTCCCTCCTCAGTCACTGTCGTTTTGAAAGAAGTCAGACAAAACGCAGATCACATTGGCCTCCAGGCCGTGAGTTGGCATGCTCGCAACACAAACTTGAAGGACAAAAAGATCTTGAAATCATCGGTTATGCAGCTGATACTAATTTTGAGACTAACACTTATGAATGATGTACTAAAATATAGACGCGGTTCACATCCTTGAAATACATTACGAAGTAAGCCCTACAAAATAGATGTCAAAATATGTGCTAAAAACATGTGTCCCCGAATCCAACCCGTGTATATACATATATATATATATAGCTAGAAACTAACAAAGTAATTTGGACAAGGTTGTGGGGAGAAAGATCTCCGAGAATTAGAAACTGAGCACTTTTTGTTATTAATATTTATTAAGAAAAAAACATAAAAACCCCGAATCTGATAATATAATAAGATCATAAAGCTCCTCTTGATCTAAAGTAAACCAAATTTCTCCCGCGTGCTTTTCCAGCTTCAGCCAGATTCTCAATAGACGTAGAGATTTCAGTAACTTGTTTTGCTTCAACCAAATCTCCGCAATTGTTTAGAGAAATCAAGCTATCGGTACAACTAAAGATCCTCTTATAATATTTACTACCTTCGAGTTTTGCACGATTCATGGAAATACATGTTAGATCCAAAATAAATAAACTTCTACTGGTGTGGTCATGGCAAGTATCTTGGAAACCATTCACCACATGCCGACACATGAGGATTCCGAAAAGGATGTTTCATATCTATTTTGTAGTTGAGAGCCCACTCTTTCTTGTCATTAACTTTTCAATCCCCATATCTCCATATGACTATCTGACGAACAATCACTAGGGCTAAAGATCCTCTCAAATGAAGCAAGTGAAGAAGCGCGAGGGAGATACACGACTTTTTTTTCTAAGGTCGGGTGAGTAGTCCAATAAAACTCCTCTTTCTTGAAGTCCAAGTTGGTAGATCGCTTTCTACCCCAATAGTTGAGTACTCATTTGGACCAAGAACCAACCAATGTGTGTCTCCATATCATATGCAGATGTTTCGTTGGAGAACCGGAGGCAAGGAGGAAGAACCGAATTTATCTCTCGCCATGAGTTTGTGCCAAGTACAAGAACTTCAGCCACCGATACCATTTTCACCATTTTGTTCCACGGGGGCCGGTTTCTCATAGTTATGTTGGGAAATACGAACAATCTTGAAGTTGTTGGTTATGCTGTCAAGTCCCATGCCGTACGAATCACACTGGCAGCTAAGACCAGTGTTATTGGCCGCAGGGAAGCATTAGAACTCCCCCTTAAGAGGATCCAATAAGCAAGGTCAAGTTGCAAAAAACAAGAGACTGAAATATGGCAGTCTGGACTAAACCCCCGAAATATTTGCATTTTTTATCTTTCTCAAAGTGTTGCTGTCGCCATGATATATTAATGGGTGCTTAATATTTGCTTTTCCTTTTGAGGATTCGATGAGAAGCATAAATCGAGGCCTTGATGAGGAACATCACTGGTACAATCACTACTACTACCAAGTAAACGATGCATGTGCAGTGTAACAAACGAGAGGTCGTCAACCGTGTTTAAGAAGGCCTTAGATACACATTGGATGCGATGAAGCGAATTTACAGGCAGTCTCAGAAGGATGTTGATAAGGATTTCAATGGGCAGGTCCACCAACTCTGTCTTGTTGTTCATGTTCTTGCAGGAGCTGTGCCTCTTCTGGGTTCTCCTCAACATATGACAACAGAAGGATAACAACCCTAACTGATAGCAAAGTAGGTATTGCACGGAATCCTAATGTGAAATAAAATACAAAAATAACAAAATTGACAACATATCCTCGAAAGTGTTGTGACCTATTTATCTGAGAGAAAGAGAGGGACGGCAAAGAGAGAACTGGAGAGATGGAGATTAGGCTTGAGGAATCTGTGTGGTACTTCAGGATTTTTGTTTCCAAAATTGTTTATCTCCCATTTTTAGCGTATGCATACAACGGAAATGGAATTCAATTAGGAAATTGTGCCACCAGATCATTGCGGCTGGTGCTTCTTTTTCCCCATTGCTAATTGGTATATATCCGATATCGACCCAAAAGCCCTAGGCTAGCTAGGGTTTCCTATCCGTTAAGTTTTGGTCGACTGCTTCGGTTCAGTTTGCACAGAACGTAAGCCATGGGATGTATTAATATTTTAAAAGTTCCTTCAAAAACTTATTTAATCAAGACTTCTAGTGTTAATCAAGTACGGATAACTACTAAATCTTTAAATAGTTATTTTGAATGTTTTAAAAGGTTGTCAATTCCCTATTTAGATAATTATTTGTACTTAATCTTAAAAAATATTTAAGTGGTTGTACTAAATCCCTAACAAGCCTCACAAGTATCAGCGTGTGACTCTCTTTCTACTCTTCTTTTGCAATTTCTCACTTTAATTTTATCCCTCTTTTTTTACTCAGTTTCTGCCACGGTCCACTCTGCCAGCCTCTAGTACTTCAAGTTCAACCTACGAAATTGCAATAGGAAAACAAAGATAATTCGAAAGGTGATTTTTCTTTACTTTATTACAAAATTATAGAAGAAAGTTACGCATTAATATTTCAATTAATACATCGTTTCATAATGTTTAAGTACGATCTATCTCTTCTGCGTTTTGAGTATTAAGTTATGAATACATGTTCTAAACTTTTTGTGATAAATGAATATTTTTGTTTGATATGTTCTCGAACTCTCGAACTGATTAATCTAGGAATTTCGTATTTCTATTTTTTGACAAAAACAGATATGCTAACAATATGAATATCTCATTAATTTTGAAAATTGTTGTTAGCACTCTACAATAGTTATACTGCTCCTGTTAAGTGTTTAGATTGCATCTTGATAGACAATAAACTGTTTAGTTTGCAAGAGCTTAATTGGTATATACAAAAATAAAAATAAAATAAAAATTGCAAAGAGTGTAATTGCTATATGCTGTGGGAATTGTTGTGATATATTTTTACTTATTTATTAACATAAATAGGGTTTAGGATTTTTCTTTTTCCCGATCAAAAACAGTATTTAATCCTGGAAAAATGTATGATTTTAGATAATTTTTTTTCCCCCGATCAAAAACAGTATTTAATCCTGGTAAATGTATGATTTTAGATTTTTTTTTTATTTTT